GGTTTTAGTTCTACATCAGAACTTGATTATCTTTTTTTTATATTCGAACAAATTTTTGGATGATATTTATTTTTATTTGTTGTTTCTGTCTGAGTCAGTCTGATTCTTTGAGGTTTCTAAAGGTTGGGTCACTCCCCTTGTGTCCCACTCTACAAGCACCGATGCAATTTTTCTTCCTGTCACACACTGGGCATTAAACATAGGGTGACCAGATGTTCTGATGTGAGCTGGCCTGTGTATCAATTTCTCACTTCCATTCTAGTGTCCCACAAAATGAAAAATGTCCCATAGATGACTAGATTAAATAATGAAAAGTCAAAAGAATGATTTAACAGGCACTTTTCCTAAATGTAAAGAAAGCAAAGCTGTCGGCAGCCCACCGTTTGGTATATTAACATCAAACACAGCAGTAGGTTTGAAAACAAAACCAGTTAAACCTCTATCAGTATAGACATGCTACACATCTTTAAAAAGCTTAGATTCTCCACAATTCAACCACCAAGTTTGTTTTATGGAAACCATGAGCAACAAAACACAATTAATAAAGATATAGCAGCATGTTAAATCTGAATTTTTTAAATAAAAATTCAACTTCTTACATTTGAAGCGAACCTGAGGCCGTATTATAAATCCAATCTTGGATTGTTTGTATTACATTTGTCCGTAAGGGTTCACAGACAAAAAGAAACGCAGCATATTAATAATAAAAACATTCCATTACGAGAAAATAGCCACAAAAAATCCTACAAAACAAAAGCCAATTTCGTTTTGAGATTTGACAGCCCTCAAAGCGTTACCAGAGCTCCCTCTCAGCTGACTTCTTTACACATTATTCCCCTCATATTATGGTTCATAAAGTCTGGCTGCTATTGGTTAATTCCACACGCAATGTTTGGCTCTCTATCTATTGATATTACCTATAAAAGAAGGGTAAGCACGGCTAATTTTATTAGAGCAGTCCTGATATATTGCTGGGCGTAAAAGGCAAAGAGGCAGATCAATCCTGAATCATTGCAACATGTTCGGATATATTAGATGGAAAGTTCCGAAACGTTAAAAAAATATTTGCTTCAAAAATGTTTTGTGGCCAACAAAATGCTCCAGTGTGATTTTGGAAGTAAAAATTTTTGTGTTAAAATGCAATTAGCATAATTTGGCATATTTGGAGAGTTTGGAAGACGTATGAACTCAGGAGTTTAAGTCTCATATCTCTTGAATTACTTATACTTAGAGGTCTGAACTTTTCTGCAGTTGTGGTTGCCAAATGCGAAGAAAATCTAAAATAATGACCATAACATATTTTCAAGGAAATCTTTGTTATTCTTATTTACAAAATAGAACTACTATTTTTCGAGAAGAATAAGACAACAACTATGAGTCATGTTTTAACTGCTGACAGATTAGGCTGTGTTTTAGTCACCCTATTTTTCATTTATCATTTTTCAGAAAACTAGAAGGTGGTTAGCTTTAAATGATGTATCACGCTGTAAGAACTCAGTAGCGTAAGACCCAGAATTTGAGGCAAGGACAGACAGTGATTGCTTGAAAGGGAGTTATTGATAAAATCTGAGCTGAGGATCTGAAGCGGTTGTTGGGGGGGGGAGGTGGGGCCACTGCCCATTAGTGGCAACTCTGGTTAGAGAGAAAACACAAGTAAGTGACCATGATAATCTAAAGTGAAGATGATATAAAATTGAGAACTTCCTGGTTGTAAGCATGTTTCAATCCAGCTCCTTGAGCGACGGTAGGATCCAGCGATGGACTGCCAGCGAGATGTGGCAGACGCCGCTAGAGTGCACCTGATGCTGCAGCCCCAGGGGAACAAGCAGGAATCAGAGCCCAGGTTCAGGGAAAGCAGTTCAGAAAGGAAAGGCTCAGAGATCCAGGTGTCCATAGTCCAGTCAAGGGTTTTTCGATCAAAACAGGAAACAGGCAGGTTCGGGGTTTCAAGATCCAACAAAGTGTTCATGTGAGAACGTTTCAGATGGGGAACTGGTAGGTCATAGTAAAGAAGACCAAAGCATGATATCGAGGGGGGGGAAAACGACGGTACGCTTAAAAAAGCACTCCCTCCATTGGACTAGAATACAGGAACAGGCCCACCTCACTGGATAAGAGACAGAACATGTTCAGGAAGACTATGACAATAAGAACGAGAAGACGAACTATGGCATCCAAGTCAAACACAGCAACATAATCTCCATGTCAGCAACACAACCTCAAAAACAATGATCTGGGTCTGAGTGTGGACTGATCCGGGACTGAGCTGTATATAAAGCAACAGGAGCAGGTGGATGAGATGAGGGATAATTGGTAACTGAGCAGAGTTAAAAAAGGCGAGTCGACTGAGCATTTAGGTCAGCTATCAGAGTCATGATCATGACACATCAAATGTAATTTGGGATTACAGTTCCTTAGTTACTTGCTTTTCTATTTGGGTATGCAAAAAGGTGAGGATTACTTAAATTTAGGTGGGTTAAATGTAAAGAAAGCAAAGCTGCAGCCACTGTCACAGAGCCGCAGTAAAAACGCTGCGCTCCATGTCATGTCCAACCTGCTCACAATTCTCTAGATATTGCCAAATAAGATATGGAAACTACATTTAAAAAAATTTAAATAAATTCAGCCACAAGAAAACTGTGGAACGGTTTATAAGTGGGAGCAGCCAGGGAAAGGCCAGGTTCTCCTTTTCCAGGTCAGTGTCAAGAAGCAGTTCCCAGTTAAGGAAACAGGCAGAATCTAGCAGGATTTCGAAGACAGGTAAGGCAGAACGGGGACAGGCAGGCTCAGAGGTCCAGAGGCACAACATGTCAGAATCAGTGTGGGGTTTAAGGGTCTTGCTCAGAGACCCAGGTGGCAGTCTGTGGGAGTGGGGCTTGAACTCAGCACCTCAGGATTCACAATTCTATGCCCTAATCACTAGCCGTAAACTATTCCGAATATTATTCATTGTTTTTCCCTTGCGGATAGAGCAGTCTGGAAATAAAGACCCCCAAATTATAATTCTGTCTGGTGTCCCTTAATATCACCAGCCCAACACTTGCATTCCACAAACATGGCGCAGCACCTGCAAGATTAGGACGGACAAAAGAGCCTAACAAATAGCACACTGACTACACCCTGGCTTCCTTAGATTTTTTCCCCTACATTGTTATTTTCCTGATTTCTACCCGTATATTTGCTCCGGCATCATCAGCAGTTACCCAGTGCAATGCCATCATTATGGCTGACTGAACAAAGGCAGGACTAACGAGCTGATAAGGAGCAGGTGTGAGTAGAGCTGAAGAGGAAGCAAAGGAAAAGAAAACACAAGGGGGCAACAGAGGACAGGCAAAGAAAAACCTAAGAAACTTAAATAAATCCAGAACACCACCATTAAAGCTAGAAAACTAAGAAAACCTCAATAATCTTGAAACTGAAAGCTTAGAGAAAACCAACAGAACCAAGATAGTTACAGTATGTCTGTTTGCATCTTAATGATTGATCAAAACAGTGTTAAATGACTTTTCCTTTTGTAAATTGCACAATATTCCACAAAAACAACTCTCTAACCGAGGGACCAGAAAGGGGGGTTAGTTTTTGGCTGGTTTAAAAATTTCCCTTTTAGTAAATGGTTCTGACACATTATTTAATGAAAAATTTAAAAAGGGTCAAGCTGGGCAGGATACTGTGTAACCACTACCACAGGATCAAACCGCTACTGGTTCTGCTGTCAGTTATATTCATACTTGTTGTCTTTCACTTCATCGGGGGACGGGGTCATGGGGGCAGCAGTCTCAGAAACATGCTCTTCTTTGGGATTCCTTTTAAATATAAAATAGAATTTAAAACCCTCATTTTACATATAAAACCTTAAATGGCCAAGCCTTATCTTACATAAGAGATATAAATTGTTCTTTGTTCCTAACAGAGCACTTTGCTCTCAATCTGCAGGTTTACTAGTGGTTCTAGAATTTCTAAAAGTAGAATGGGAGGCAGATCTTTTAGTTATCAGGTCCTCTCCTGTAAAAACTAACTTCTATGAGGCGGGACACCCTGTCTACTTTTAAGGCTAGGTTTAAAAACTTTCTCTTTTTGATAAAGCTTATAGTTAGGGTGGCTCAGGTTACCCTGAGCTATCTCTATAGTTATGCTGCTATAGGCTTAGACTGCAGGAGGACATAGGGACCCCTACTTCATCATTCTGCTTCATTCTATCTCTATTCTCCCACTCTGCAGAATCTGTTAGTTCAATCTCTAACGTTTCTGCTCTCTCTGCTTTTTCTCAGAGTAGCTTCACCTGGTCTGTTCCTGTTTGGCTGTGACTCCATCCTGGAGAGAAATATCAGCTGTTCTGCTGCCATCAACACCTTGTTTCTAGATTTTGGGGAGCTTGGCCTGTTTTCCAGTGTAGTCCTGTTTTCTGACTGTGACTAACTGGATGTGCTCTCTTCATCCTCTGACATGGGAGCTGGCTCGGAGCTCCTCTGCTGGCTGTGTGTTTCCTGGATGTGGCCGCCTGAGGAGCTGGTTGGCAGTTCCCTTTTTGTATCTATGCTTCTTTTTCTATGTCTGCTTCTGTCTCCTTGAACCCCAGTCGGCCTCAGCAGATGGCCGCTCACACTAAGCCTGGTTCTGCTGGAGGTTTTCCCTTCCTGTTAAAAGAGAGTTTTTCCTCTGCTTAGTGAAAGGGATTGCCTTCGAGCCAGTGAATTGATGCAATAAACTGGTTTTCCTTAGATAGAAATTGTTAGGATTCCGTCTGTGGTGGGTTTGTTTTGTGTTTGTCTTCCTTCCTCCACCAGGCGGCACCTGGTTCTGGTTGGCCCCCTCCACACACCTGTGTAAGGTTACCTCTTTAAACGGAGTGCTCATAAGGTTTGCTGACTGGGCCACTACCTCGACGCCAAGTGTTTGCCATTTTTGGGGACTCTAGCCAAGCTGATTTTGCTGAGGTCAAACTGGGGTTTTTGTCTACCTGAGTTTTAACCTGCTGTTTTGTTGTCTTTGCCTCTCGGGAGGAAGTCCTCCTGCAAACTGGATGTTTCGGACTTCTCTTGCCTGGAAGGATCTTCCCGAGAATCAAACTGACTGTGATTCAAATTTGTGGTTCTGGTCAACCCTTTTCCCAAGGATCGTTTGGGTCTTCTCTCTGAGAAGGGGATCCATCTCCAAAACAAACCCCTTCAAGTACCGCAGGAAATCTAAGTGGCAGTCAGCTCCTCCGTTTTCCAGCGAACAACCGCTTTCTGGGTATACCTGTCCGCCCTCCTCGATCTAGACCAGGGGTGCTCAAGTCCAGTCCTCAAGAGCTACCATCCTGTAACTTTTAGATGCATCTCTTCTCTAACACACCTGAATCGAATGGCTCAAACCTCATTTAGCCCAGCAGGGAGGAAAGGTTAACGGAGACATTCATTTGATTCAGGTGTGTTTAAAAGTGGGGTGGATCAAAAAGTTTCAGGGATAGTAGCTCTTGAGGACTGGACTTGAGCACCCCTGATCTAGACAAACACTGGAACTCCCACACCGACTGGATTCTATAAGAGATTTAAACCTTTTTATGGAAACGTGAGTTAGAGAGCTAACACTGGGATTCATCTCATCCTTCCTCAATAATTTTGTTAAAAAACTTTTCCTGGTCTCTCTGTGTGGTTCTCTGCTAGAGTCTTTTTTTTATGTTTGGGTCAGATCTTATTTAAATCGTGACAGAAATATTTGAACTTTGAACTTCCCTCAAGCTAAATAAGAAGACATACTCTGTTCTGGGTACTGTTCATACAGAGAATAGTTACAATATAAAGTGAAAAAAACAATGGACAACAGTAAAAATCCTCTTCAGAAGATTTTTAAACAACAACAGAGTTTCTTCAGTCGAGGCTTCTCCAGATCCGATGCAAGAAAAAACCTCTTCAGAAGATCCTTCCTGCCCACAGCTATCAACCCTACTACACACGTTTAAAAAACTCCAGTAGCATTTAATTTCTCTTTAGGATTAATAAAAGTACTTTTTAATTGAATTGAATTTCTGTTCAGTCAGAAAACTACTTGTTCTCATGACATTTCATAAACTGCTCCTTTTTATTGGATTTTGATAAATTTGCAAGGAGCCTATCTACAGTAGGGGGGGGGGGGCTCAAACCGAAGGAATGAAGTAAGAAAGAGAATCAAACAATGAGGAACTGACAGGAGGGGTTTTTATGGTAGATAGAAAAAGGGATGGGCTAAACAGCTGATAGGGAGCAGGTGTGGATAGAAGCAACTGGAAGGGAGCTAGCGGAAAGAAGACGGAAAAAAAACAAGAATGACACAAAAAATGGAATGAAACAAATGAAACAAAGGGAAATTTAAAAAAAATCAAAGTGTTTAAATGAAAACTCAAAAAGAACCAAAAAGTTCACAAAGGGCAGAAAAAAGCATTACAAGTACTTCTTACGTACTTATTATTTACTACGTACTAATTATTTTGGTTCCTAGAAAGTAGAAATGCTCCATTTAAGTGGGATGGGTGCATTTCTCTCTGAATAACACAGGCGTTTCCGGAAAAAGATTTGCCAATTACCAATGCAGCCCTCATACCACCATAACTTAGAATGTTCAATCGGTGACCAGGGAAGGTACATCGCTTTTTGGTTGTTTAATAATTGAATGAGTGACTGCAGTTTAATGGTTGCACACATAACTACCATAGCCATATGAAAACTTTTGAAGTCATATTTAAATATTTCCCAAAATCTCCTTATTAGCTTTAATAAACCTGAATATTTGAAAGAAATAGTGTAATGTCACAAAAGTTGAGAACGTCTGTTTAGAACTATAAAGTTTAAATCTAAATTTTTCCATGAATGTGTTGTGTTGGAGCCTGGGTTAAAAAATCTTGCTCCGAAATGTTTATGCAGTTGTTAACACATGTTCTTCTCAGTGGGAAATCTCCAGACAGAGTTATGCTCTCAGTTTGACACACCAGAGTGTGGAGAACACCCAGAAAGAAGGGTTGGGCGCTGACTGTGTTTCTTTAACAGCACATTAAGAATGATGGATGAAGCTGCATGATGGCTGTTTCTTGATGATATAAACGGCACATGTATTTGACCGATCAACAATACTGGCCAAAGGGGGACAAACAGAACACTCTGTAAGGTAGTATATAAAGTAAGTATTAAAGTCAGTTTAACATTATGTATATATAACAATATATATATAACAATATATATATATATATATATATTATATATATATATATATATATATATATATATATATATATATATTATATATATATATATATATATATATATTGATAGATAGATTGATTTATAAAACAAAAAATTCTCATAACACTGTAATAGAGAATTTAATGTATGACAAATCAGATTTGTACTTTGCATGATACATACATCATCAAAAGAGTACAGCATTGGGCTTTTACTAACCTTGGCAGCCATGGCAAGTAGGATCAGGTATCATTATGGTGGTTTGTTTTCAGTGCCAGCCTGAGATTGTCATGATCTGGCCTGTTTTTCTCTCCCTTAATTTGTAATTCCTTTCACCTGTCGTTTTCCCTCCCTGCCTCAATTATAATTTATTCCTCTCACCTGTTTCCTTTTGTTTATATTCAGTTCAGCCTGAGCATTCAGGCCAGATCATTACTTGTCTTTCTGTTAGTCTGTCTGCTCAGTTTTGCCTTGGTTCATGTCCTGGATCCTGGCAGCCAGTGGAAAGAGGGTTTTTGTGTTTGTCTCGTCTCCTGATCGTCCACTGTTCCTCCCCTGCTGAGTCCTCAAGGTTTTTTGGCTCAATATGGGGGAGGTTCAGTTTTTATCTCAGTAAGCCTGGCTCCAGGGAGGAGACCAGTTTAAAGTCCTGCATCAAGTTCTGGTTCTAACGTCCTGTCTCGGCTACCCTCTTCCACTGAGCCTGCTCATCTCTACCTGATCCTGTCTGCTCCTGTGCGTGACCACCTGGTCATGCTCCTGGTCCCAGCCAGACTCTGAACCCTCCTGGGAGCTTGTGGATGCCTGGAAGTCTGGATCCTGCCCCCTGTCCTGTTCCTGCCTGATCTGGATCATGTTTCCTGTCTGATCTGGATCCTGTTCCTGTCGGTCCCTGTCTGTTCTGGATCCTGACCAGGATCGGCTTCCAGCATGTCCTCTGGGACTGCAGACTTGGGGACATTCTTGGACTGGACTGTTAAACCAGTCCCCATCCTGCAGTGTCCTCGTGCCACAGCTCCACTTTAGTTTTAGTGTTATTTAATAAACTTTTTGAACTTTCCTACTGACTGTCTCTCCTTGAATACTGGGTTTAAATCTGTCCGCGTTCATGATAGAGATACCACCAGAAAGCATTAAAGTTTCCCTGCCCAGGACACAATTAAGGTGGGATTAAAAATAATATCTGAACCACCCAGATTTTTCTTAGGTTGGACCCCAATCTTTTAGAGCCCATCCTCATAATTTGCTCATAAATACTTTCTGGGGTCTAGTTATAGAAATCTGCCTAAAAATACCATGATGGATTAAGTTAGAGGAGATGGCTGGCTGGTTGTCTGGATGGACAGTCCTGGGGCACCATTTTGGGTTATGTTTTAAAAAAGTCACTTGAAACTATTTTTATTGCTGAAAATAGACCACAGTGAATTTTTATTTCTGTTTTCAACTCAGTCTATAAAGATCGGCAAGATCTGGATGTAATTCATTATAATAGAACAGAAATTCTAAAAGTTTAGGATGTCAATACAAGTATTAACATAGCCTTCACTACATAAAAACTAACTACTACACACACACACACACACACACACACACACACACACACACACACACACACACACACACACACACACACACACACACACACACACACACACACACACACACACACACACACATACTCCCAGCAGCTTCAGACAGGGCCCACTGCATGCTGTAGGTCATGGCAGAAGAAAGCTTTCTAGATTATTTTACTTTCAGTTGAAGCAAGCCTTGTGGCACCTCTGCCTCTCATTTTCAGCAGACTGAAATAACAAGATCATTAAAAGTAACAGAATGTACATCCATCCATCTGTCCATCCCATTTTCTCCCGCTTAGTCCTTGTCAGGGTTGCGGTGGGGCTGGTGCCTAAGTCGAACACTAACCCAAAGGGCAATTTAGAGAAGCCAATAAACCTAACAGTCTGTGGGAGGAAGCTGGAGCACCCGGAGGGAACTCATACATTCACGGGGAGAACATGCAAACATGCAGAAAGCCCAAGAATCAAACCAAGAACCTTCTAGAGCGTCCATTACTCTGTATATCCACCACAACCATACACACTGTCAGACAATCTCGTGTTATCACACGTGTGTGGGAAAATAGGCCTTTTTAAGTGAATGAAAATGTAAACTCAGTTTCAATTTGCTTCAAGAAATACTAATTGTCATGATGGGTTACTGAGAGGCCCAAGATGCAGAACACCACGGAGACAGAATAAAAGTTTAACAGGTTTATTGTTTCACAAGCACATGGAAATAACACTGGTACTGGTTCAGCCTGGGGGCTGGTTCATTGAAGTCTGTGTGGGAGACAGTTCAGTTAGCGTTGGCCCCAGTTGAGTTTGAGTTTTTAAAGGTTTTTTTGGTTTTTACCTTGGGAGTCCCGATAAAGCCTTGAGGGAAAGGGAAATGTTTTGGGGTCCAGAGATTGTTTCGTTAGCAGATCCCCATAACTGCCCTTTACGTCTTTCTTTAAACGTGAAGGCAGACCTTGGTTTTGGTTTTTCCCGCCTTATTCCCCGAGCCTTTATGGGAATCCCCGAGAAGTCTTCGGTATGGTGCCCGAAAGGGGTGGTTTGGCAGGTTAAAACTCTTCCAGGCTTCACAAAGGGAAAGACAGGTTTCCTGAAAGCAGAGGCCCCAAAGGGGGAGAATCCCGTCAGGAATTTAAAAGGCAAAAAAAAGGGTTTTCCCGAAGATACTAGGCTTTGGGGCTAACCAACGATTTAAAAAAGGGGGCGTGAGGCAAAAGGGCTGAAGGCAGGTTATATAATGTGGATCCCCTGATGATGGAAAGCCCCTCAGGGGTGTCGAAGGGGTCCTCAGGAGTTTCCCGGCGGACTCTGCTGGGGGAAAAGATGGAACTTTTTCCCCGCTCCCAAAAGTTTCCCCCCCCCTCAACGACCGCCCTTGGCGGCCCTAAGATGTCGATGGGAAAAGGGGGCGCTTTTACTCCTCGAA